TATCTGTTGCGTCTATAAGGAGAAAATGGTTAAACTCTACTCATACTAAGAAAAAGTAGCGTCCATAAATTCAGAAAGTTGTAACAATTCGACTCGGATCGTAAAAAAATCATTTTAATTAAGTCAACGAATCATAAAAAGAATTGTATTAAATTAGCCAACCCTTAGAAATTATTTAAATTGGGTTAAATCAACAAAATTAATAATTAACTTAAAATAAAATAAGAATAATTAACAATTCAGCAAGATTATCTATAACCCATCTATACAGCACTTCATTATATTTTGAATTGCTTTTAGCTTTAAATATAAAGTTAGAAGGTTTATTTGACGAAATTCTTAAAGATTTATTCACGTCAAGGATTTTAAAATAATTTCTCTGTATTTTGGTTGAAATCTAAACTCTCCTAATACAGAGCCAAAGTAAGCATCTTAGAACTGTCATAGCTCTCTTAGAATAACAGGAGGTACGGAACTTCATCAATATATTTTGATTAATTTTTTGTGTCACCACATCTTTTAAAAAAAAGGGTTTTTTATCAGTTTCTATCCTATACATTACATTGTATGTACTATGTATTGTAGATGGCTTGTAATGAACGTTGAAATGGTTGAATCTCAGAATAAATGTATTTCTATACAGATCGGACCCAAATTTTGTGTGTGACCTAACTTATTTTAAGATTATAGAAAAGAAAACTCAACCATTCTTGTGATTGTGTAAGGGCTGTAATTGTTTACAAACATTCATTATTGAAGGTGGTTTAAATAAAAGGACTAAAATAGTTCTTGAAAATCTATTTTGGAAGCCTTGTATTTAATGAACAAAAACAAAGATGATAAAGTTTTGTTAGTTAATAGATAGTTTAGCAAAGAATTTTATTTTCCTGTTTTAGAATAAACGAATGACCTGTATTTGCCAAGAAAAATAATTAGATATCTTCGGATTCATTGGAATGTTAGTATTTTTGTTCCATCAAATTAAGTTAGCCTCTGCCAGAAAAAATATTTTTTTTAGTCCAGCTGACATTTTTATGCACTAAATAAAAGTAATATTGAAAGATGATATGAATGAAGTAAATTATAAAAAATCTGTCTATAGAACACATAATTGTGTGCAAAGAAAGAAAAGTAGATCCACACAAAAAATCTGTAGGAAGTGGTAAATTTTAGATAAAAAAGAGATTGAAGAGCTAGAGAGTAATCATTTGAAAAAAGAAAGCTTAGCGAGTTAATGATAACATTATTTTTAGTTATAATTAAAGGGAAATTATCAGGGAATAGGAATAAAGGGAAAGGAAATGGCGCCGGTCTGGCATGAGAAAGCCAGTCGCACTGCTTTGCAGACAAATTCGGTAAACCTTACACACACTCTTTTGGTACAGACACACAACATGACTACAGTCAAGGAAATTCCAGAACAAGGTTGTCAATTACAGATAAGCTTAAATAACAAGTAGTTTATTGTAAACTTTAATCAAATTATATTCTTTGCATGAAAATTTGGCTTATAGTGTTGACTTAAATATATAAATATTATACTAGATGTACATTAAACTTATTTTTAAGTAAACAATTAACAATAAACAAACGTATTCTCCTAGACTGTACAAATACCGAGATTCGTATGTACTGTATATACCTACAGTACACCCCTTCGGTTCGGTAAACTTTACACACACGCTTTTGGTACAGACACACACACATCGTTTCCGCCCCCTGGAAATTTTATTTTAGAAAACCAAGCGAAGATTTATTAGTGTAGGAACTACCAATAGGGCTATATTTTATACCAACCAAAGGATTTTTGAAGAAAAAAAAAATGGGCTAAAGCGCCATTATTATTAACCTCTTTATAGCTCTTTTCTTACACAGTAAAATTCAAAAAGAAAACAAAAATCCCTAATTTGCTTGAAACAAATCTATTAGTGGGGAAAAAATAATTCTAGGATAAACGGGGGTTTTAAGGAAATAAAGTTCCTCTGCTTTAACTTCCATTAAATAAATGAAACACAATCTTTTAGTAATAGTTTTATCTAAAAACAAGATTAAATTTATCCTCAAATTGTAATTAGATCAAGCCAAACTATATTTTAACATGGTAACAAGAAATATCATATTATATTTATTATTATCTTTCACACTAAACGGTTAGACTTAGTTACCATGCCCAAGTCCTGGGTTGCCCGTGGAATTTTTTAAAAAAAAATTTTTATAAAACTAAATTTTAATTGTAAAGATTTTTTTCTTAAATAGAAAAAAATATCCTTTGTTACTCCCATGGGTTCTCTCAAAAATTTTTAGCCAATTTGGTCCAGCCATTTGGCCAGCTATAGCTATAACATATATATATAAATATAGCGAAGAGGAATAGATTAAATGACTTGTTCTATGAAAAGACTTTATCTGTAAAATGAAATTATATTCAAGATATCAACAGTCAAAACAATTATGAAAATGAAATGTCCGATTGCCTAAATATTTGATTAGAACAAATAAGATTCGTTTTAAATTAGTCCAAACAATATTAAATATTCTCTAAAGTTTTTTATAAATCAAACCAAATCGGGAAAAAATGTTTCAAACCAAATTTAATCAAGAAAGCAAACCAATCAATCCGGTCATTTCTGACAATACCTGAAATAAGAGACCTAGATACTTACTACTTAGTAGAAACATTAAATTCTTAAATATCAACTGACATTTGAATTTGAACAAAATCATAATTTAGATAAAAGATGTGTAAATATTACACCAAGCAAAGAAAAGATTAAAGCAAGTAAAATACAATTGCATTATGCAACAGAATTTTTAAAAAATTCATTCTAATCCTTCTTTCAGAAAATAAGTAAAAATAACTGTTAAAATATGACACCTAGCCTTTTACTAATAGTGGAATAAGTGAAACGTTATTATTTACTTAGATCACACACCAAACAAAACGCAAACTGGGCAGGCTATTTAAAAAGTAGTGTCGTGTGTATGTTATGTTATTTTTTGCAAGGTAATTATGCGTATATTGACAATACAATTTAAAAAACTATTTTTGACATTATTTGTAGAATAATGTAATATGTTTGGAATCATACCAAACTAAACCACTACATTTGTAGGATTAATCTGATGTGTATGTATGGATTAAACCAAACTAAAAATCAAACTTAGACGTTATTTATAGAATCATGTAATATGTTGGACTATACAAAACTGAACCACTTTATTTGTAGAATTAGTGTGATGTGTGTGTATTACACCAAACTGAAAGCAAACTTAGACGTTATTTATAGAATCATGTTATATGTTTGAACTGAACCCTATACTTGTTAAATTATTGGGGTATGTATGAATTCTACAAAACTGAACCTTTGAGAGATCATTGCCTGGTAACTAACTCTCAACTGAACGCTATATACTTTATCCTCTGTCAGTGAACTGCAGATAACTGCAGTTCCTGCAGTATCGCACCGACGGCTTAGTTGAGAGTGACCTGCACCAGGAAACCCCCTAGATGTGATAACTCTCAGAAATATCACACAGAACCTAACCTTACTTACTCGCGACTCCGTCCATGTTTTCCCAAAGTAGAGGAGCATGAAGAATATTAAAGCTGAGACGGCAATAGCTGCGCAGGTTACAGGTCGAACCCAAGGTAGGTGCTCAGGGTTATTCCTCTTCATCTCACAATCTAAACACAGTATAATAAACAGATTTTTTCTCTCAATTGTATTAGTGGTGTTGGTATATTTCATAGAAAGATACTTTATAGATGGGACATTTCATAGACAGGACATTTCATAGACAGGACATTTCATAGAACAGGCGCTCTAACTCAATTATTTCCCCCCATGCCCATGGGAAATATTTTATGCCGCCCCAGTGTGTGTGTTTTCCCTCAGAGAGTTCCAGTAATTTCTTAATTCTTAATAAATCCTAATAGTTTTACTTTTCATCTATTCGATAAATTTAAAGTTTAAACAACCCTTGTTAGTAATAGAATGTGATTCATTCCTATCTTAAGAATGAAGTTTATTATGATTTTAAAATTGAATCACATTTTAATTTTTAGTCACAAATAACGAAACCATCGATAGTACTGAGATGGAATTTAAAGAATTTGAGCCGCGGTTTAAATCCGCCAAAACCCGGTTTAAATTAAGCGCCGGTTTAAATCTTGAAACATTTGATGCAATTTTAAGAGGAACCAACCATATTTAAACCGCGGCTTAAATTTAAACCGCCGCTCAAATTCTTTAAATTCGGCCACTGATAGTATTTTTTTTCTGAACTAAGGTATCCTCGGCCTAATTACCAGCTTGTCATCCCATCTTTCTATAATATATCTATATTTTTCTTGTCTGCAGATGGCTGAGTGAAAAATTTTAAGGTAAAGTTCTAAAGCAATAATTTAACATATTTTAAGCTCTTAAAATACTCAATTTTAATGCTAATTTATTAAAAAATTGAGGGGGGTCTCCGCCCCCTTGCACCCCCTTCTCGCTCACGAGTTTCGCTTGGTGCTAGTCTCACTGACTTCACAATTTTATTGGAAGTTTGACCCCCCTTTTCAAAGAGCTGGATCACCCCCTGGTTTGGAGTACATTATGCGAATAAGCTTGTGCAGAGCACTCTGCACCCCCTCCCTCGCTGCACCTATGTGAGACCTATGGTTGTATCCATCAATAATATTTCAGATTCAGCTTCTATGATGAATTGTTTGGCTAAATTTTATGAAATAATTATCTTTCTTACGACCAACCTTAAATTTGGCTTAAATTTATTCACATAGATCCAGACTACTGAGAAAAGTTTTATCAATTTTCAAGACTGGTTGGGTCGGCTTTAAAGTGTCGTAGAACTTTAAAACACTTAATATTAGCTGAAGTTTTAAAGAAGTAATTGAAAAGCTTTCATCGATTTTTAAGTAAGCGCGTGTCGTGCAACTATTAGATCAGTGCGCATTTACAGGAAAAGCTTGGGCTTTTTGTATTTTTGGCTATAAAATAGTTTTATTGTAATGATTTTGGTTCCAGACAAATTTGGTTTTTATCTGTTGAAAATTAGTAAAATNCCCCAGTACTTATTGGTTTAGAAAATGATAAGAGGATTAAGTCCCGGCTCAGGCTTATGATAAGACCGTAGAATTATTTAATTAAAAATTATTCAAATATACAGGCTTAAGACCGATGTATTCGTATTTGGTGAAGAGTGCAAATTGTAAATATCAAAAGTTTTTAATTAATTAAAAGTCTCGGAAATTAAATTCGTCGAGAGGAATTGAGTTCTTGTCACAAAATCAGATTTTCTAATTAGCATATCTTTGCAACCAAATGTTGTAAACCTTTGACATTTCAGACTTTTATTCTATTAGATCAAATAGATAGTTTAAGTTTGAAATATGAAAGGTTGCTTCAGCAGGTTGCAAAGATATAGGTATTAGAAAATTAAAATGACAAGAATTCAGGTCCTTCAAAAAATATTGGTTAACTCCTCTTTAATAACATTATTATTGTCGATTTGTTCATCTTGGTAATTAATCGAGTGGTGCCATATACTTTTCAGTAAATATTCAGAATATTATGACCTAAACACCTGGCCTTCACTTGGTTTTGCGTTATTTTCAAGCTGAACCCCGTTAAATAAGTAGCCCTACCTTAAAGAAAATGCTTAAACGCCCCTGTAGCTTTTGGAATTTTGCAAGTCTCAACGTGATACATATCGATTCATGCAGTGTGAAAAGAGGAGAAGTGATTATAGTTAAGGGTTCTTGGTTGCAGGAAAACAGGAACCTGTTCTCCTTTGACATTGAGAGTTTCCCAGGCATTGTTCTTTGCATAGAATATGTATATTNAACTACCAGGCCAAGTATGGATCTCTTTAAAGTATCTTCAGAAAGGAAGGGGAAAACGCCACAATCGTATTATATAAGAAATTAAGTTAATTAAAGTTGAATACAGGACAAAATCAGGGTTTTAATTTCTATTGATGGGCACTCATCAGATTAAAAAATAATTGGAACCTCTTAAAGATATTCGTAGTTTAGTTAATTCAAAGATGCGGAAATGAGAGAGGAAGCCACAAAAACTAGTTTCGTATTTAATTTCTTGTGATCAGAGAATTTTATGTAATACTCATTACTCATGTCAAACTCATAAATTGTATATTTTACTTCTAATATGCTTATATTTAAGCTAGTACGTTTGTTTAAATTTTTCTTGATTCAAGATTCTTCTTAAATTTTGCTTGTTTGTTTATTGGTCTTTTCTGACTTTGCTTTAAAACATTTCAGTTAAAAACTCACTATTTTATATTTTCTGATGTTACAACGCTTACAACGGGGCCTAAAATATCCATAATGGTTTGTGAGCGTATATATTACGCATATCCGTACCTGTGAGACAGATAACTGTTGAGTTGATGAGAATATACGCTGTGTTTCCACACTTGAGTCCACTAGCACAAACCTGGACCGATAAACTGGACCAGGGTCCATTTATCCAGCTATCCTGGTCCCTACAGGACAACTCCAGGCTGCAGTCCACCATGTTCTGGACCACAGGATGGACTGGACGGTTTGGACCAGGTTCCAACTAAGAGTAAAGGAGGACTGAGAGCCCGACCCCGCGGAAATATCGCTCTCTTCGTCCTTACGTACTCCCCACCCCATCCGGATACATGGCACGAATTTAGGCGATAACTCCGCTCAAATTAGGAATTTTCACGAAACGCATCTTTCAATTATGTTCCTCACTGGCTTTCCCTAATTCGACCTGACAGGATAAAATTATGATACATGTTCAAGTTCATATCTTTTTGAGATACTTAATCATTTTAGTATATTCATATCACTTAATCTTTATTTTTTCCAGTCTTAGACTGTATACTTCTTAATCATCTTAGTCGGGCTGAACCGTTACATGCAGGGCGTAAACAGGGGGCTGTGATGGGCTCCCCTATTGTACTTNCCAATGAATGTCTTATTTAAGTGTCTTATAATTTCTTTCTGTCAAAACTTTGAAATATGTCAATTTACATACACATATATATTTTTTCATTAGATGTAGTAAATTGGCAAAGCTTTCCCTGCAACTAGGCATATTTGATACTTGGTTTAACAAACATAAACTTAAACATGCTTTTAAATTAAACATGTAATATATTCCTTTTGCCTTTGATATAGTTTTTATGGGTTTATCATTCGGTTAGTTTTTTAAGATCGTATTTTAGTTTTGCTACGCGTGTTCATTAAACCATCTGCTTTAAGCTTGGATTTATTCTCTTTACATCATAATAAAAAATGTCAGGAGGAGGGCCCATAGCCTCGTAGCTTAGTTTAATGTTGGGGCGTATGGATCAGGATTTTCTAGGTTATGCCCCCCTAGAAAAATTGTTACTGCCCTTTCGAAAGATTTTAACCCCCATCATGATGTATAAATATCAAAATATAGGTATAGCCTTTTTTTCATTTTTGGCTGTTAAAAGCAGTTTCGAAAGAAGGCAATTCCAGTTGCAAAGAACAATGTACTCGTGACAAACATACTGAATAAATTCTGCACATGTCGGCACAGAAGTCTCATCCTTCATGGATAATCTAGTACATTTGGTTTATTTATTTTATTTTGTTTTGATAAACGTCAAAACTAACAAACCAATCTGACTAATTTTTGTGTTGAAAACATGACTATTGTCTACAGCATATTTTTTAATTATTTCTATTAATTCGCCAAAGAAAACAGGAAAACATCTTCAATTTTTCATTGTTATTGTCTGAAGAAAAGATTTAAATATTAATCAATAAGAAAAAGGTTTGATTATTACTAGAAAGCTGGAAGCTTAAAATTAAATAAATTATTATTTGAAGAAGAATAAACTCTTTTTCTGTTTATTCAGGAAAAGATAAGGAGTTTTATTTTCCGACCATTTATAATTCCCGCGCTATTTTTAGAGTAATTTTAGTTTTGGAGGGTCAAAAGTTGAAAATGATTGTTTTAAACTGAGTGGGTATTTTTCCGAAGGGGGGGGTGATTAAGTTTTAAGTAAAACCAGTTTCATTTTACATTTCTGTTATGAAGACTGTAAAATGTGGAAAGTTGGTTATATTACGCACCCCACCCCTCTTCAAATAACATTAAAATCATTTGACACAAATAGCAAGAAATGTTAATGGCGCAACTAGGGGGGGGGGTGAATCCGATTCCCCCCCCTCACTCGACTCTATCATGATCATGATTATGGACCATATCTTTTATCAAATTTTGCCAATTGAGAAAAAAAAATACCAAAAGTTTTCTGTGGCGCTTTGCAAATCATTTCTGATAGAATTTCTAACTTCTTTCTCTTTTTCAAAGTTAAAAAACCAGTCATTTTTAATCTATCCTCTCACAGTTACAAAAAAAAACATAATACATACATTTAAGGTTACAAAAACTGAGAAACTAAGAAACAGCATATTAATAAAGAAGAATATCAAAAAATAATGAGGATTTTAAAGAAGTATTAGGAGGTTTGCAGGCTATAAAAAGAGAAAACGGATCAGCCCCTTACTGAAAACAAGGGCAGAGGGACTACAGAAAGACTTTAAATAGTTGGACAGACGAAAAATAGTCAGTAAGTACTTCCAGGAACTATTTACTGCTTAGGACTACAAAGACCAACAATTAAGGGATTTTATAGTGGACAAAAAGGACTAGAGTAGATGAATTTCTACAATCTGCTGTATAGACTGTAATTTAGGGGGTCTATACACAAAGTGAATAGAATTCAACGAATTGACTAATGCCGTTCATTTTAGAGCTGTTGGAAGTATAATTTTGTTTAAACACAAGCCTATGAAGCCTATAGGATACGATAAGAAATCGGTAGATATATATTGAGCACAGAGCCAAACCTGCAACAACTGAAAAATTCAGTTTTTCGACTTCAAACCCCTCAAACAGTGCTTTTATTTAAATTTTTTTACATTTCCCCCCCCCCCCTTCAACCATTGAAAAATATAATTTTGCCCCCTTACAAAAGTGCTTGTTTCGCTCCTGTCTGTTCTATTCTTTTTCTGGAAAATTTTTATTTATCTATCTTACTGAATATTCAATGAAAGAAATCCGTCTTAATGGGTTTAGATTCTAGGTATTGATTACTCATATATCTTCATTTTTGATACATTCAATCTTTCATTCAATTCTTTAAAACTATTACCAATAAAGTATTGAAAATATGAAATCTAATTGATTTTTGATTTTTTTTATATACAAATTAATATTCTTATGATTGGAATGCACCATAGATTGCAAGATACAAAGGCAATATTTTATAAAATGCATTATATTTTTGTTCCAAACTGCAACTAAATGAATCTAATTGGAATGCAAGAGACCGTTTTGCATTCTTTTTTTTTCTAATATGTTTTTCTACAAAATTTCTAACCCTGAATTTTAAGTTTTTAGTTCGTTTGAATCCATTTTCTCCAGAACAATTACATATTAAAGTTAGGCACCCAATCAAAGTGCTTTTTATCTATTAATATTAAGTAGTTTTGTCTACTTGTTAAATTGGTTTATTCATTTTTTGATTAGCGTTTCCTAATAATCGTGTAGTTTTTATTCATTATTGAATATCGAGGAATTTTTTTTTATTAATTTTGAGATAGTTTTATTCAAGTACTGAAATTATGATACTTTTTAATTAATTAGAAGATTTATCCAATAACACCAGTTTTATTCAAGTATTGAAATTATGATATTTTTTGATTAATTAGAAGATTTATCCAATAACACCATGAAATGTTATTACATTGATATTAATCTTTTTTTAAAATTTATATCTCATTATCGTCTTATTTTTTGCATTTTGGTTCGAAATGTAAATATTTACTTTTGTTTTTATTCTTAAAGTGGATTCGTAAGTTTAAAATTTCTCTATTTTCCTGTTTTTTATTTATCTTGTTTTTAAAATCATATAATATTTCAGATTGTTAATATGGCCAGAAAAGGATCTATTTCATCCCTTTTCTCCACACAACCTGGATCCTTCCTAGAATTCGCAGACTCTACCCCAAACTCGAACTTGAACCCAACTTCAAATTCAAACGCAAGCTTGAAAGAAAAGACTGAGTATAAGAGATTAAGGAAAACATTTTCTCCAACATTGGTGATTTAAAGGAGATGACTAGTTTAGTTAACGGAATAATTTCCTTACATCATTTACTTGAAAGATCCTCTAAATTACGACCTGAGAATTATTTTATCCTTCCAATCTTTTACCGATTAAATGCTGAAGATGAATCAGAGAAAATATAAAAATTCAGATCACAAAGATTTAAATCTTTTTATGTGATTATACAATATGCAACATGGAAGAGCGGTAAGAATAAATTATTTTCTACAGTCGTCGTCGTATATATCAATACAATGGATTTCAAACAGCATGGATACCCAAATAATATGAAAACATAAAGAAGTGGTCAAACATCTCCTCTTTATTTACTTGTAATTTGAAAAAAGCTTCTTCGAGATCAAAACATAAAATAGAAAAGTCGTCTTCATTGAATTGATATAAATGACGACCGCTGTAGTTTTACGTAGAGTATCAAAAGATGTATTCATCTTGGGCGTATATAGGAATGTGTCAAAGTCCGTAGAATTACCCCCCCCCCCTTCGAACTATTATCACCACTTATTTTATGTCTCATTGCTAATATATATAGATATGGAGAAATGTTTTAGATCTGAGTTTGGTCGTCTACTCAGTTTATCCCGAAGTATTGAACTACTGCGGGTAGATACTGCTACGCTAGTTGCAAGGTTTTACATCTTCTTATTTACAATATTTATCTTATCCTATTCTTCTCTTCTCATATCCTTGCAATCATCTGCATTCCATTTTTGTAAAAAAAATCTTCATACATTTAAATGTCAAAAATATCACATTATTTAAATTTTTAAATTATTATTATGACCACGACCACGACCATGACCATGACCACGACCACGACCACTATTACGATTACGATTATGATTATGATTGATTACTATTAGCATTAATATTATTATCATTATTACAATTGTTCTGCTGTTTATTAGGAGTTTGTGTATAGTTTCTAGTGAGAACCTGGCTAGGGCGGATGGAAGAATTTACTCCGTCCCTAAAAACCATCCTGGAACCTGTCTACCCTACGACCAGGTTCTGGAGCTCATCCAACGGACTGGGAATGAACCGTGAACTATAAGCTCCCAAAGAGTCTGTAGATTTCAGTAAAATAGTTTTGTTCAGCAAAAATATTTTTGTAAAATTATGTCAATATTTTTTCGAAAACTCAAAATTAATTTTCAAGTGTTTTTTGGAGTCCAAATTTTATTATTAAATTGTGATTTTTAATAAAACGTTTTCATGCTTATTTATGTAACTTATTTAAAATAAAAGCATATATAATCAACCTTAATGCAGTACTACTAATTTAAATATTTTTTTAGAGATTTTATTCACGATGCAGACTTTGTAGACCATTAAACCCTAAATAGAGTTGAAAACTAAATATACAAGAATTATAAAAAGATTCACAGGGTAGCAGAGGCGTACACAGGGGGAGTCCCCCCGGAAAGAAATAAAATTAAGCCCTGTGTTCGCCCCTGATAGGAAGTCGTAGAATAAGAACGAAATCAGCGGAAACAGATTTGCTCTAGGCCTAATTCGACTGGGAGATCAGTAATGGTTTACAGGACGATACTGATTTTTGAACAGGTGTGGAAATTCATGGCAGGAAACCTGTTTAAGAAAGACTGTTCATTAAAAAAACTCGATTTATGCTGAGCTTTTCATATATTAAAAGTTAAAATATAAAACACTTGTTTGTTGTGAGTTTCAAGGATTAGACGGACGGGGGTTGCAAGGATTTGCAAGCTTAGGTTAGGTCGTCTCTGACACTATCTCTCAGTTATCAGCTGATCCTTGAGCTAGGAATAGAGACAAACATTTCTCCGCGTACAGTTTGGATTTGTCAGAGACACAACACTCAACCCGTCCTTCTCTTTGGTTATCATCTACACCATGGTAAGGGTTAACATCATTTAATTAATTTGAATTAAATTCTGTATTGTTAAAACGTTAATTTTATGGTTTTTGTTAACTGCGTAATAATGATAAACATATTTTTTCTAAATTTATTAATATATTTAAATGAGATATCTAATTATACATATATATGAGAATGTAAATCTGTTTCTTGATTGAATAATAAATTGATTTTATATATATCACAATTTTGATAAATTTCGCTTTTTAATTTAAAAGAACCTTTGAGAGTTTAAAGATTACAACAAAAGCCGGATTACATAGTTTAAAATAGATTCTTTGTTATGATATTTCCCCGTATGGAAAGTACTTTTCTTGTTTATTTTCGCCGATATTTTAAATTGTTTATTTTATGTTTTTTATCCTCTTTTCATTACTCTCCATTGTTAATATTAACATCTTTATTTTATTTCATAGTTCTTATTCCATTAACCTTTCTTTCTCTCTGATTTTCATTAATTTTGATTTTTTAAGTTATTTTTCTTATGTGTCTTCTAACACTTTAGCTCGTTAATTTTTTGTTCAATTTCGAATTATTTTCTCTCTGGATGTTAATAATTACAGAAAAACAGAACGTAAAAGCTTAACCGGCCTCTCCTAAATAAGTACACCCATTTTCCATATTAGTTCCGATGAAAAAACTAAATAGAAAAAAATAGGAAGGATGGGGGTATGATTGGCCCCTAGAAAATAATCACATAACTTGACCATGCCTAAGGGTTACACCTTCTCTGATTTTTCATTATGATTAGTCCATGACAAGTTTTTTGGTTCGTTTAAACTTACTGAAAAGTTGTATCTCCTAGCCCCATTTTATATTGTTTACAAGACCAGCCTAAAATTAGATCTCTACTTTAGGCTACAGTCAAGATACCAGAGCAGAAGGTGATTCTATGTGGAGAGTTTGGTGTTGGCAAATCTTCTCTGTTCAGGTCAATATATACATGGATATTTAGGTCAATATATACCTGGATATTGGGTCAATATATACCTGGATATTCAGGTCAATAAAAACTGGATATTTAGGTCAATATATACCTGGATATTCAGGTCAATAAAAACTGGATAGTTAGGTCAATGTATACCTGGATATTGGGTCAATATATACCTGGATATTCAGGTCAATATATACATGGATATCCAGGTCAATATATACCTGGATATTCAGGTCAATAAAAACTGGATATTTAGGTCAATATATACCTGGATATTCAGGTCAATATATACCTGGATATTCAGGTCAATAAAAACTGGATATTCAGGTCAATATATACCTGGATATTTAGGTCAATATATACCTGGATATTTAGGTCAACTCAACATTACCTAGATTATTTGGAGACAAATTTTTTAGTAAAAGAAATGTTTTTTTTTACAGCACACAGTTTAGGGTTGAAATCTTAATTCGAGACTTTTCATTACTTTACTTGGATCTGTATTCCGTCTTATAAATAATGTTTTAAATCAATCTAATAATTATTTCCATCATATAAGTTAAATTAATCTTTCTTTACAAAGGAGTGAGATAATTTTAGCTACAGACAAATTTTCTTCTGAAATGTAATTTATTAATTGTAGACGGTTTATGAGCAATAGCTTCACAGAGAGTACGGATAGAAAGAGCACGATGGGATTGGATCACTTCGGGAAGAAGTATACGGTCGGAGAGAAGGATCTGAAACTACAACTTTGGGATACAGGAGGTATAGTCTATAGAGGGAAGGAAAATGGATGGAATCAATGATACTTTGATATTTCTAATCCTTTCAATCTATATTTGATGTAAATTTTTAGGACATTGTTATATTTTCTAAATATTGTAAGTAAAATATCTTATCTATATTTTGTGATATTATCAAAGAGAACAGATTAGTAATCTCTGTTCTGTGTATATTATCTATGAAACTTCTTGATTATCTAGGTATGGAACGAGTTGCAAGTATAACCTCCAGTTACTACAAATACTCGGAGGCAGCTATCCTTGTATTTGCTCTGGACAACCCGGATACTTTTCATATACTCTCCCAGCACCTTCTAGATATTGTTACATACGCAGAGAACGCAAAAATATTCCTGTGAGTTAAAAGGATTTAGTTACCGGGGACATTAATTATAATTTATGCAACTTTGCATAGCAGTGTTATATATTTGGAAGGTGTGTTTTAATTTGTTAATTGTATTCGTTTAATCCTGAGAACATCGTCTATTTCAGCGTATAAAAGTATTTAAATGATAAGAAATTTGCAAGGTAAAATACCTTACACCTAATTTGAAGGTTATTTTGGCAGAAATAAATAAACAAAAAAACATAGAATGGATCAAATGATTCTAATACAATAGATGGCAACGTAGAATTTGTAAACTCAAGTACAGCAGTATTCTTACGTCACAAACAAGTGTCATCTTAGTTTTTGTGTCCGACAAAATTTTTAATAATAGTGATAATTTAAGAATGAAGTGCTTATTTAACAGTAAAATGAGTGCAATTTTATGAGTTCTTTATTTTCTGTTTTTAAACTTTTTATTTAATCTTGGAAAACATGTCATTTAATGTGAGAAAATTTGTTTTTTTGTTGCTATATTTGACACTTGTGACGTAGCGTGTTTAATTGATCTATTTCTCTGTTGCCGCCTATTCTACTTGATAATCTATTTGGAATGGATAAGAATCAAATTTAAAATGTTATTTGTTTTAACTATGAACTTGTTTTGAAAACTTTCAAACGAGAATACTGGAGATAAAAGCAAATTTGAAAAATGATGATTGTAAATATAATTTCTTTCTTCTGTTTTTAAGTATTTTCATCTAACTTACTTATACTATAGATGTGGAAACAAATTCGACCAGAAGTCCCGCATCGCAATCTCCGACTCCGACATGGAAGCGTTCTGTGAGCAGTGCCACAACCTAGTGTCTGGGATCTATAAAACCTCCTGCAGGACCGGAGAAGGGGTCGAGGAAATGTTCAGTGATATTGCAAAACAATTAACTCAAGTTAATAGGTAAAATTAAAATGGGTGTAATAGGATTATCCCCCCCCCCTCCCCCCCCGTTAATTTGATGACCTGGACCATAAAAATGAAAAATAGAAAGGGTTTTCACATGTTTTAATACTTTTCACCCAAAAATTCATTTATTTTTCCTCACATGAGGGACAAAAAATATATCATAACATCCAAGGGACAAAAAATGATTTCCAAAAGGGAGCTGTTATGATTTTTCAAGAAAATATGCACCCCGGAAAAGAAAAAATTGAATTAATTCTTTTTTCTTTCCCATCTTATTTTATTTAGAGATTAAAAGATTCAAGCTTTTAGATCCTTGCTCTATTTATAAATTCTTTATTTGTTTAGATCAAGAATGGAACTACAATCTATAGAAGAACGAAGTTTTCAAGTAAACACCTCCGCCCTGGCGGAGCCGGATACAGATGGCGGTTCTTGTAGTTGCTAACAGTAGTACTACCTGGACCATAGAGTGACCAGGAACTACTCCCTCCAGGAATATATCCGAGACGCGTTTATGGGGGAAGTGTAAATCATAAAAATTGCTAGGTTTGAGTGCTGAACAGTGAAGAAGATATGAACATTGAACAAGGATAATACAGGGTTCCTTTCAAAGGATGAGACTTCAAAGACGACTTTACAGAATTTATACAGAATTTATATAAGCCGAAGATATCGGGTAAATAGTTCTAGACTTTAGATTGTCGACATCGACATGTCGAAGACTAAATGTTTGCAAGGCTGCCTGTTTTTCTTACAGTTATGATTCCATGAAACTGTGAACTTTTTTCTTTCTGTGTCAAATCATTAAACAAGCCCAAAAAACTTTATTTAAAGCAGAGAACTTCACAGACTCTACCTTTGTGGGTAACACGGTACTGCAAAAATAAATTATGAAAAATCTCAGAAATCTCTTTAACATTATCTCCTTTGCAAGAGGAGCAATAGCAATAGAATCGTGAAAGATTTCATTGAACTGAAGATACTAATAACTACATCTTGTCCTGTGAGTCCTGTCTGTGTAATCAGTGCTCAGGGTAACATGCAACCTGTAATGCAACAAATCCCATCATACCGTCTTAACAATATTTCAAATGAAAATCCAGGCATCCAAGGAAATTACTTTTCTAATCCTTTGTTGTTTATTCTACGTAGCACTTAATACCGCTTCTTTATAATAATGACAAGATATGTATATAAACATAGTATACAATCAGTTGATAAAAGCAGTCGTTCGTCATAAATATCATTGAAATATATTTAAAACGAGACAGAAACAAAAGTGAATAATATCCAGAGCAGTTAACGCACCAAATGCACACATATTTTATACGCGCGTATTTAAAAAAGACGGTTAGATCAAATTATGCATTATGCATTTTATTTAGTTAAACTTCTTAATGTGTATATTATGTAAATTATTCAATAAATCAGTAGCCTTCACACATGTTTTTTATTAAATAATCAACAATTTTGTATTTCAGAAAACAACAGATGTTTTATTAAAAAATCAAGGTCGAACACATTTGTTTGTTTTGCAGGGATCGAATTTAATGAACTGGTGAGATCCCTGAACTACCTCCCACTGGTTCAAGTCCTGAAGCACCTATTCAAATCAGCTCGTGAATCGTTGTTTCAAAATTGAATTTGATTTTCCACTCTGAACTGAAGAAAATTTGACCCTTCGAGTTTCGAAAGTAATAACTAAGAAAGTGATCCTTAGTTTATTTAATAGACGTAGAAACCTGTTTAAGTCTAGTTTAGTTTGGGCAGATTTAATGCATGTACTTATGAATAATATAAAAGATGGGTTCTCTGTTCTCTGTTCTATTTTTTTATTTTAATGATATCGCATTTTTTTCTTGTATTGATTGATTTCTTTGATATTTTGTCTTTGATATTTTGTCTTTTTTCTTAAATTTTTTATTCATCCTTTGATATTTTTTGTTCTTTCTTTATTATTTGACAGATTTTTTTCTTGTGGGAAGCCTATATACATTTAACAACCTGAGAACTTTAGTTGCCCGAGGACTGCTGCTAGGGAAATAAATATCCCTCCTTTCTCGTGGTAAGCCCACTCTGCCTTGTTCTTATTGCCCTGTTTCGAGACCCCCCCCCAACGNCCTTGAACTCAACAAATATACATGAGCATATAATAACAGTTAAGGTCGTTTAAGTAGGCATCGAACATATTGTTTATAAAGGTTAAGGAAAAACTTCTTATCCCTGAAGTTGCCTAACCATGTATTTTCTCTCAAATCAAACCACGACAAAATTTTCTAAATATCTCGGTTTCAAAAACTTCTAAGAGACCTTGCAGAATTCATTGTGCTCTGTTCGTCTCAAAAATGATTTCCATATTCCTTTTTTTGACATTACTGAACCATGTCGGATTTTTTTTACATCTATGCAGTTAACTTAACTCAAATATTCTGGATTTGAAAAAGTCAATCGGCTGGCTATGGTTGAAATCAAATAGTAGTTACGTCCGAAGAATTTGAGTCTTTGCCACAAACTCTGATCTATTATATTTACGACCCAATGTCGTAGACCTATATAAGATATTTTAAACTATGATTTGTTATTTCAAAAAGTCAAAGTTAGAAATATCAAAGGTTTAAACCAACAGGTTTCAAAGATATAGAGGTTAGAAAATTCTAGTTTGCTACAGTTTCTTTGAATCCCAGTTTTTGTGAAGAATGATACTTCTGAGGCAACTTAAGAGATTTCCATTAGTTTTATTTCGTCAAGTTCCTGGTTCTCAGCCGCTTTGCTTCATTCCTTCTCTTTCCCCATATATAAGAACTAGGCGAGGCGCCTATCTTCTATTTTAATTTTGTACATTTTCTTTTTGTATTAAAAGTAAACCAAAAACAAAAAAATTTCGCGGATTTTATAAAAAATTTCGTGGATTTTATAAATTTAATGGACCATAAACATTCCCTATAGGGTCACACAAGTTTCAAATCTACCCAGGGGTTTTGTGAGGTTCAGGCGTTTTGATGTTTATTGGATACAAACAAAAAGACGGACTAACAGACAAGCAAAGTACATAGATAGTTAAACTGTTGACCTGCAATATTTGATTCTGATCAAGGTTTAACGAAAATTCCGAGTCGTCATTAAATTCAAAGTAGAGTTCTGAACGTTAAGCTATGTAAAATAATCTTAGCAAACAAAAGAATGCGGCGCACATGTTAATGAAATAATTACAGCGTATTTTGTGTAATTACTAGACAGCTTAGGCACCTGTAACTTGTGATAAATTACCAGGAATGAAAAGAATTCGACAAAAAATAAACCCAAGTACGTCTTTTATAAAGAAACATGGAAATTTCAAGATTCTTAAAACATGACTGTTTGTGAATAGTTTGGAAAGTCTTTTTTATACATTAAGATATAAATGGCTTTTTGCAGTTTAATTACTAAAACATGACTTCCACGTAATATTTTTTATATATATATATTTATATATATTTCTCTTTGGTATCAAAGAACTTAACAAATTAAGGAAGAAGACATTTAAACTTTTCACAAACTGTCATTTTTCATGGGAAACCCTGTCTGAAATATAAGTTACGGTTTATAAACTCTTTAATTAAAAAACATTAAAAGAATAAAAGTTTGGTTTAATATTTAATTATTTATTACAAAATGAGTTCAATCTAGTCTAACGTGCAAATATTTGTACATAATTTGGTGAGGCTAGTCCGCCGGTCAGTCAGTGGAACCGATCGGCTCGGAATCTCCGTTCGTATCTCCCAATCTACCTGGAGATAAACACAAGTTAAGATCATCAATTCAGACTTCAAGATCGAATCCAGTTTAGGTTGAAAAATCCGATTGAAAAAATGAGAATTTGTGCTCTTCATTAATTGCAAATAAACTTATTTTTTTTTAAGAAGCCCTCGCAAACCTTGCCATACTTTTACCCAACATTTCTGCATTTGAGGTTTTAATAAATACATATTTGTAAACTGAATGTAAACGTTGCTAAGCAAGTTTTACCTTCAGATTTCTTTTTAGTATCGCCATATATCAAGGAATGATAGTTTGGACTCACAGATCTATCCCGTCCTGTCTCCTGTTCATCCATAAACCTAGATAAATTTGTTAGAATTAATCCTAAACCTAGATATATCTTTCATAGAAAAATTTCTATGAAAAATAAATTTCTTTGAAAGACTTAATCCTAGACCTGGATAAAGTTTTTTTATCCTGAATTTTAAACCTAGAGCTCGATACATCCTTTGCTCTGATTTCATTAAAATTGTAAAACCAGGAGACAATCATATATTTTTTTCTCATATGTTAATCTTACTTTAGTTTGATGCGGTTAATTAATGAAAATTTGGAAATCAATCGACAAGTTTTTTCATCCTTCTTCATATTTTCCATCAAAATTTCATGTATTTCCCAAAATCCGCCTAAAAAAGATAATACCTTTACCTAACCTCAGCGGGAAGAAATATTTTTAAAGAGTGGTGCGGGAGTGAATGATTTTTTAGGAAAATATTTACCCCCGCAATTTTTATAGTATTTAAAAAAAACATTCATCTTCCTTATAATAAACTAGATATATTTATTACCTCTCCATGTAATCGGTAGTACCCGGATGTAGAGTATATTTTTTCTTCTCTATCCGGAAAGAATTTGCAAAAACATCATGACGCTCCGTCTTCTTCCACAGATAATAGAATTGAACCAGCTCTCCAACTGCTCTTGTTCCAACCTTCTGGTTTTGGATGTTGTAGAAATTCTTTCCGTAAACCCGCAAACCAGTCTCGAAAGCTCGGCACTCCTCCTCGGACCACAGAGACATTGTGTCCGCTGGCGGAACCGCATTCATCCGCTTGCGGCGTAGAGCTTCCTCCATATTATAACCGCACTGGAGGAGAAGGAACAATGCCTGAATTTTAAATAAATTTTAACAACTTTTGAGATTGTCTTAAAGTAAAAGCAGGTCATGTGCCTGCTAAGTCCAAACCCCTCACCACGACACCGTTTAATACAGGATCTATGTTTTTTCTTTTTTTTTTCGAGCAAACTTGGGAGCGGATACGAGAACAGCTTCTGCGCTATGAACAGTTTACCAGACACAGAGCACGGAAAGATATATATTTACTTCTGTAATGTTTTATTAATACTTCATTGTTTATTATGCTTCAGTGTATCTAAAAATATTTGATTGATTGATTGACATTTTATGGTCAACTTTGGAGGTGTTTTGTAAAGAAAATAAAAATTCTGTTCAATGTTTTCTAATCCCAAACCTGTTCATCATCCCTCACATGACTCCCATTTGGTATTCCGTTGACACCCATAGCTCCACCGGCTCCTTGGGTCTCCAAGGACTTGGACAGATACTCCTTGGCCACCTCCTCGGAGAGTCGGGTCGGATCCCACAGCTGTTTATCGTCATTCTCATAAGGCAGGGTATCATCATAATTACTTAATCCGGAGGGTACAGATGCCTGAATGTATAAAGAGAAATATATCAAGAATCTTTTTTGGTAACTTTTGGACATGATTTTCGTCACAGAATTGTTACAATTTAACATTACTTTATCTAATTATGTATTTTTTTTAAAAAGAGTTTAGAGTTCAATTCAGAGCCTAATATTATTAAATTATCACAAACTAGAAACAAAACAACTATCATATCATTCATCAAATGACATGAATGGCTAAGTTTCAATATCCTATAATATCCTAGTATATATATGAACCTGGTAGGATGGACCGATCATGATCGTTTTCTTCCAGGAGAAATCCTTTCCCTCCTCCGGCTCCTCTTCACTTTCCTCTTCTTCTTCCTCCTCCTCCTGAACCAACCCACCGGAGCTACGCAGACTCCGGCCCTCCACCGAAGACTCATAAAACCTGAATTAGTGATGTTACAAATGAATAAAACAAAAAAACCTGATGTAAGTATCATAATGTCTTTAGTTAATAATGATAAATTTAAACAAAATCTTACATAGACCTAAGGATTAATTTTATTCCTATTCGATAACCCATCCTACCCTGCAGGTGTAGTTTTAATTAAGGGATAAAGCATTGATCCTCAAATTTTAAAAGTCTCCACATTGACTATCCATAACAAGCGTTAAATATCTATACTAACCTTGCAAGCTCTGATTTTGGTTTCTTAACTGGAGGAGAAGTAGAAAAACTTCTCTTCTCTCCTCGTGCTTCAGTTTCAGGTTCAGACTCCGACCTCTCCATAGGAGACTCCTCTTTCTGCTCTTCTTCTACCTCCTCTTCATCCTCCTCCTCTTCCTCCTTCTTCTCCGGCTGTTTGTATCCGTAGAGTTTGAGTAGTTCCTCTATGGGCATATCTTGCTCCTTCTCCAGAGCATTGATCTCCTCTTGTTCATCCTCCTGTCCCAACTCCTCCTCCTCCTCAATAGTTCTTTCATCATCAAACTCATTCATAATCATCTCCACGGTAGGTTCAAACTCATTCTCATCTTCTAAACAAAGATTGATTTGTGAGAAAAATAAAGGAAAGATGTGAGAGATTTCTTGCACCAATAAAATTCCAACCAATTACCCACGTACCTAAAAGATACAATTAAGTAAATTTTTTTGTATTTTTTACGAAAAATAATGTTTCACATTAAATTTTCAACTCTGGCTAGGAATGGTGGTTTACTGGTTTTCTGTAGCCTGTCCTGGCCGGGACGCTCGGCCCACAAAAAAAAATCTTGGGGCTCTTACCGTCGTTTTGTTTATCCTCGTCTATCACAAGAGAATCATTTGTTCCTTCCTCTGCTCCGGTACGTCCTTTCTCAGTTCCGGTTCTACTTTGAAGTTCCGCTACACTCCGTCCATGTTCTACTCCAGCCTGTTCAACCCGTCCTACAGAGTTGACTTCGGAGAAACCTTTTTCTTCAGATCCTTCCATTTTGATCCTAAAAGTTAAAATACCCAAGCAATTCCAGAACATAAAGGACAAAATTGAAGAAAATCATATTTACATGTAAATTTACAAAACTTGTATTTTCTAAAATCTAAATTGATTAATATTATAAATGAATTTTTGTATTGTTTCAAATACTTGACAAGTTGACATCTTAAAGGGTCCTAAAATCTAAAAGTTTCACTTTAAATTGTTTATTTTTGTTTTCGCGTTATTGGCGAAGTGTAAAAGACTAATAAAACTAATCTGTTTTTAATCTTGTAGAAAACTTGGTAAAAGTAAGACGACAGCCAATTATTTTACTTTTATGAGTTTATAGAGTTGTCCTTGAGCCTAGAGTATGTAATATTTTACCACAAATAAGGCAATAATAACAATTATGAAGGTCAAAATATCTTTGGATAATATATCTTTGGTCCTATTTTTAAAGAAAAGTGTTTCTAGTGTTATATCTTCTTTCGATTTTTACCGATATTAAGACAAAAGCAAAACTTCGTACGTTCAATGAATCGTAAAGGTTAGAGCTATTAATTTTCAACCAAATTCAATTTGTTGAAATCAATTCTTTTCAGAACACTGTTATTGTCTACGAGTTGCCGTTAAGTATTTTAAAAACGTAAAATATTAAGGTTTTTTATTGTTTTCTTCAGTGTTTGTGTTTTAATGGTAGACTCGAGCAGATTGCCTGCAGAGACTAATATGTCTCCAGGTAGACTCGAGAGCAGTACTAAATCCAGCTGAGTTAGGAGAGTCAGGACTCAGGACGAATGAGAAGCGGAGAGAGGAGAGAAACACTAGCTCTCACCCATACAATATTTCAACAATTTAACTCAGTTACAAGTGGCTTTAGAGAATTTTTAGCTATTATTTGATTTAAACATCTTTGATTTTTTCATTTTCAATCTTTTTTATCATGTGCGTTTCTTGGAATTTTAGCATATTTTATCAGGTCACAACCCCTTACCAAGGGGTTGGGGAGGGAGGGGGGTATGTCGAGTCATGCTTAGTATTTTTTTGTCAGAAGTTGGTATCTTATATCATTATTAGAAATAAATCAAATTTTTCGGATTATTTTAATTATTTTCGGAATTCGGGGATTATAAAACTGTTCTAAAATATGTCGTGACCTAACAATTATATTGCATTGTGTATATTTGTTGTAAAAAGGCATCCCCAGCTTTGAGGAATAATTTGTATCATAAAATTATGTCTCTTATATACCACCGAATTGGTTAATTTCACAACTTTTTTGTAAATATATATTTCGGCAGTTTCGATCGATATTTTTGCCTATATTTCCAAGTTTCAGAAAACACAAGTTTGTGTTATTTCACCGTTCCTCCATATATTTGGTGAACCCAGCTCGCTCAAGTTTCCAGAGAATGGAGTGATAAAGTAGAACGTAGTTTACGAAGAGAAGGGTCTAGGGTAGGGATGGAGCTCCGGGTAGGGAATAAGTACAGGTTGGGTCGGAAGATTGGAAGTGGATCCTTCGGAGATATTTATCTTGGGACGAATATATCAACAGGAGAAGAAGGTAAATAAGTTCTTGGGCTGCCTGTTTCTATCTCATTTTTTTATTTTTGGTATTTAATGGTAACTATAATTTGTTTTCAATGCAAATTCACACCTTTTATTATAGTTAATTTTTTTTCTGATTTTTTACTTTTTCCTCTTTGTTATTCTCTCTGGTTCCACAAGTTTTCTTCTCCCTCTTCTTTAATTCTTCCTGAAGGATTACATTTTGTTTATGAATCATCCACCTCCCCTTTCTCAAGAATAATTTTACTCTCTATATAGTACGAAGTTTTGTTTATTATTGATGATTTGGGATCTGTCCTAGAGAACGATTTTTTAACACCCCCCCCCCC